TGGTTTACAGTAAGGATGAAGCTACTCATGTTGGTCATCTAAGGCTAGTACTGGAGGTGTTAAAAAAAAATCATCTATGTGCCAATAAAAAAAAATGCAGTTTTGAGAAGCAAAAATTAGAATATTTAGGTCATATCATATTTGGCAAGGGGCTGTGTGCAGATCCTAAGAAGGTTGAGGCAGTCCAGAATTGGCCTATTCCCAAAAATCTGAAGGGCTTACGTGGTTTTTTAGGACTGACGGGGTATTATAGAAGGTTTGTGAAGAGTTATGGCCATATTGCTCGTCCTCTGACACAGTTATTAAAAAAGGACAATATTGGTTGGGGGGATCAAGCTCAAGCAGCATTTGAAGAGTTAAAAACGGCTATGCTCAGATTACCGGAACTGGCCATGCCTGATTTTGCTGATGTATTTATTGTAGAAACTGATGCATCTGGTGTAGGAATGGGAGCTGTGTTAATGCAAAAAAATCGTCCCATAGCATTCTTAAGTCAAGCTTTTTCGGAGAAATCTAAAGCATTATCTGTTTATGAGAGGGAATTAAAAGCAATTGTGTTTGCTGTTCAGAAATGGAGGCACTATCTTTTGGGACGTCACTTCATCATCCGAACAGACCAAAGAAGTTTAAAATATTTAACTGAAAAGAGATTGCTTGTTGAGGGCCAACAGAGATGGGTAACAAAATTGTTGGGTAATGATTTTGAGGTGCAATACAAACCGGGCTGTGAAAACAAAGCTGCAGACGCTTTATCACGGGTGATGGACTGCAGGGCCATATCTATGGTTTCTAGCCCAGATTTGCAGCAATTGGCCGAAGAGGTGCTTGCTGATCCAGTGACTAAATCCATTTTGATGGAAGTTATGCAAGATGTTAACTCTCATCCAGGTTATAAAGTATCAAAAGGTTGCCTATGGTGTCATGATAAGTTGGTGATCCCTCAATCATCTCAGCATATCCCTATCTTATTAAGGGAATTTCATGACTCTCCTTTGGGGGGGGGGGGGGGGGGGGGGGCATTCGGGTGAGCTGAGAAAATATCAAAGGATTGCAACAATTTTTTGGTGGAAAGGGATGCGTAGGGATGTGACTGAATATGTGCGAGCGTGTGGGGTTTGTCAACAGCAGAAATATCAAGGTTTACAACCCGCAGGGCTCTTACAGCCTCTACTGGTCCCAGAGCAAGTGTGGGAGGATCTCTCAATGGATTTTATTGGAGGATTGCCTAAATCAGGTGGTATGGATACAATAATGGTGATTGTAGATCGTTTATCAAAATATGCCCATTTCATTACATTAGTTCATCCTTATACTGCTGAACAGGTTGTTGTCCTATTCATCAAAGAGGTTGTACGGCTGCATGGTTTTCCTAGATCTATTGTGTCCGATAGAGACCGTGTCGTTGTGAGCAAGTTTTGGGGAGAACTTTTCAAGGCAGCAGTTACTCATTTGAAGTTCAGCTCAGCCTATCACCCCCAAACCGATAGGCAAACCGAAGTGGTGAACCGAACACTAGAGACTTATCTGCGTTGTTTTATAAATGGGCACCTGCAAGGATGGGTGAAATGGATCCCATGGGCTGAGTTTTGGTTCAACACTGCTTATAATAGATCTACACACATGACGCCTTTTAAAATAGTCTCTGGAAGAGACCCTCCAGCTGTGATAAAACTGAATCAAGGAGGCATTACTGTTGATGCTCTTGACAGGTGGGTTGAAGCAAGGGATGCTGCTTTGGAGGATATGAAAAAAAAATCTGTGTATGGCCCAGGAGCGAATGAAACACCAGGCCAACAAGGGGAGAAGAGAGGTAGAATATGCGGTAGGGGACAGGGTGTACTTGAAAATGCAGCCCTATAAGCATCGCTCTCTTGCACGGTTTTTAAACCAAAAATTAAGTCCAAGGTTTTATGGCCCTTTTGAGATTATTCGAAAGATGGGTCCTGTTGCATATCAATTACTGTTGCCAGGGGACTCTAAGTTACATTCTGTGTTTCATGTCTCACATTTGAAAAAGGCTGTCCACCCAGATGTACCTATTCTGGAGTTACCCCAAGGGCTGACTGCGATGTTAGAGTTACAAGTTAAGCCCCAAGCAATTTTGACAGCACAGAGGTTATTAAATGGCAAAGTGGAGGTACTGGTTAGGTGGGCCGATCTGCCTTGTTGTGAAGACTCTTGGGAAGATTTAGATATGCTGCAAACAAATTTTCCTTCTTTCCATCTTGGGGACAAGGTATTTGTTAAAGGAGGGGGTATTGATGGACCTTTGGAGCCTTATCCACGAAGGTATACCTGAAAGAGGACTAAAAGTAGTGCAGCCCAACTACCAGATGTAGCTCAGAGGAAAGATAAAGAAATAAGAAGTGAGACAAGCCAAAATTATGCTCAAATTGTCCAACATTCGGGCCCAAGCCCAGCTGACAAACACAAGGAATCAGAAGCTGTGACCCAAGAGATGTATAAAGAGAAGTTAGTTATGCACAATGGAGAGATGGACAGCTGGCGAATGCTGAATGGAGAAGGCAGAATTGGAGAGGGAGGGCAGCGTGACTGAAGTTAGTTATATGCAAGAGAGAGAGAGAAGAGGAAGGCATGAAAATCATTCACCAACTTGGAGGAAAAGGAAGAACACTCTCTGCAAACGGGTTTGATTTGTGGATGGTGTTAGGAGTATGGAATATTAGTATTAGTAGCAATTAAAGTTACAGTGTTTGTAATATTGGTTTGTTGCATTTGCTATTTCATTTGGAGTCTGTAATTGCAGAACCTTGTTGGTCTGTAATGGAGTTGCTGTGAGTATTTCATTGTTGTTCTTGTATTTCCATTCCCACTTGTGTAGGAAGTAAACAGTATAACTACTTGTAATGATGACAGTGAACATGGTTAGTTTGCTGATTATGAATATAATGGCAATATAGATGTATTTCAGATACTGATAGCACCATGAGTAGATCTGGTAATTTTGTATTTCAATTGTCTAGCTATTACAATTTCACCCAGGAACGTGCAGGTACCATCAGATTTATATCTCAATTGTAATGGACGCAAGGGACAACAAGGCTCTCACAGTATTAATCTTTGCAACTGGGGAAAAAGTTCCTTCATAATCAATGCCATAGGTCTAAGTGTAACACCTGGTGACTAATCGAGCCTTATATCTCTCAAGTGTCCTATCAGAATTGTACTTTAGGGCATAAATCCATCCGTACCCTACTGCTTTCTTTCCATTGGGTTTATCAATAACCTCCAATGTTTTATTCTTCTCCAAGGCATTCATATCCTCTTGCATGGCCCGAACCCAATTCTCATCTTTTAATGCTTCGTGCATTGATTTTGAGATGGAAATGGAATCTAGTGCTAACATAAAGCTTTTGTGCGGCATAGAAATGTTAGCAAAAGAAACAAATTGAGAGATAGGATGTTGGGTGCAAGATCTTTTTCCTTTTCTTAAGGCAATGGGTAAGTCATAAGAGACAATAATATCATGTTCAGAAACAAACGATTCAGAACTTACCAGTGATTCAGACGATTGAGGTTGTTGGTAAAGCAGTATGGGTTGTTTCCTCCTCTGATATACAATTTAGTTGTCAAATTTTTTCTTATCTCCGGTGTACTTGAAGGTTTTGACACATCAGTAGTAGACGCGGAGGGAAGGGTGTAGGAGTAGATAAGGACGACCTAGACTCAAAGAAGGAAGGGGATGAGTCTTCTGAAGAACTGCTCTCCGCCCGAAGATGAGGACCCTGGAAAAAAGGACTAAGGTTCATGAAAGGTAACATCCATATAAATAAAAAATTATTGACTCGGAGGATGATAACACTTGTAGCCTTTTTTATCTAGGGCATAACCAAGGAAGACACACCTAAGAGCCCTAGGATCCAACTTATTGCAATGTTGTTTATGAACATTGATAAAGGCAACACACTCAAATACTCGTGGAGGAAGATTTTGCAAAATGGGAACAAAAGGAAAGAAGGAAGTCATGGAATGAATAGGATGGGTATTGTTAAGGACCCGTGAAGGTAAGCGGTTGATCAAAAAGGCTGCAGCTAACACGGCTTTTTCCCAATAAGAACTAGGAACAAATGTCTGGAAAAGTTGGGCTCTTTTCAAGGTGACATTTTTTCTTTCAGCAACTCCATTTTGTTGAGGGGTATAAACACACTTGAGTTCATGTGAATAGTACGTCCGTAGAAAAAAAAGTACGTGCGTAGAAAAAAATTCAAACAAAGGTCCTCTCGGTTCAAAAGGTCTTCGGAAAATTTTCCGGTGGCAGCGAGAGGCAAACAAATAGAGTTATGCTCTAAAGGCGACAGTCGTGGAAGCAGAGCCCTCAGAATCGAGAGCTTCGATACCAACTTGAAAAGAGGAAGTATAATATTATATTGACAAATTGTGTTTTACAATTGTAGAAGGGCTCTCTATTTAAAGAGGCTAAATGACCTAATGGCCTAAGCCCAAGGAAGATTTTAGAATAGAATAATAAATAAATAAAATAATAATAATTATTTACAATAGATAGCTCTCTTGTTATGATATCTTATGTATCTCTTATTTTCATCTTTTTCATGTGCTTTGACTGCTTGAGGCATATGTCTCATACTCTTTCTTTTTCTAATAAAATGTTCAATTATTAAAAAAACTATTAAGAAGAAAAGAGAGATTACAAGATTGAGGAGGGAAAAACTTCATGCAGGTTTGTTGTTTATGCTTCTCCATGGTGTTTTTGGTTAATGCGGAGTGCTCATTGTGTTCTTAGATCTGTTGTGGGATAAGATTGGTTTTACAGACTCTTTGTTGGTGCTATGCCATAATATTTGTCAAAGGATATCCTTGAAAGTCGTCTGGAAGAAATAACAAGCTTTGTGTTGATGAACTTGTTTTTTCTGTGCTATATTTTTGTGCTCTTGTTAAGTAGAAATGTTATCCTCTTGTAGCATTTCTTTTCTCTTTCTTGAAATAAATTTTTTTCAATAACATGCTTTTGTGGCTTGCAGAACTCAAAGTTTCTTCAGTTTGTATCAAAGATGAGTCGTGGTGAATTGATTATTGATGACAATCAAGTTAAAGAGAGTGCATTACCTGCTTCTGGAGATTGGGCAGCAGAATACCAGCAGCAATATAATCATGGCCATGCATGGGCTGGTGAATTTTTAAATGATAAGGCATGTGCAGTGAGCTTGAAACCATATTCTTTTGCATGTGTTTTTTTTATAATTAATTGGTATATATTCAGTTAAAAAACTAAGATTTATCAAGAATAGTTTTTTTTTTTTTTTGGTACACAAGAGGGGCTAGAGCCCGATCAAGAATAGTTTTTGGTTACTGTTAACCTGATGACATAAAAATAAGTAAAAGTTTGAGACAGAAAATTACCGAGAATGTAAACAGTTTCCTTTGTGAAAAGGCTCTGAATTATTGTGATACCAAACATTCCCCTCAAACTCACAAATTGTGTGTACTAATATAACAATTACTAAATGACACTCGGGCCATTTATTTTTGGTGCATTACTAGTAACCACCTTTTTTTTCTGTGACAGACGCATAACTTTATTAGAAAGATAAGAGGGAATGTTTGGGTAAAGGGAAGATAAAAAAATACCCAAAGCAGGGGGAAAATACATCAGGTGAAAAAAAATGCAGCAAGGCTGCCCAATTCTTGTAAAAGTCAGAAACTGCTACTCCTTTGAAACATTAGCAATCACCACAGAGAGACCAAAAACATTATCCTATCCCAGGGTAAGTTTTGGGTTAAAGAATTGCCCCTGAAAATGCAAGCATTCTGCTTCAATTATATTAGGCAAAGGGCTTCGTGCACTGCAACACACAGAATTTGTGGCTCACTCTATGTAAATCTCCTTTTTAAACTCAAGGTCATAGTCTTTCACGTTTAATAGAATTAAGGCAAATGATTCAATGCAGGTTTGCTAATATTTTTACTATGGGAGAATGCTTGGTTTAGATTAGCTGGATAGGGTTGTAATTCTGAGTATCTTAGATGTGTTTAAGATGCAGTTGCAGATCAAATTTCGTTATGGAGTTTGTAGGAATTGAGGGGCTTACTTGAATTGTAGTTTCACTGAGTAGATTTATAATTTATCTGCAAATCCTTTTGAGGACGATTATCTAGGTCTTTTTGCTTACAATTTTGGGGTGCTGTTTGCTTTTATGGAGAATACTGTATTGGGTTTCACTCAAACAAGATTTTGAAGGCTTTGATTGAGGGTGATAATGAGATTTCCTGGTCGATAGGTGCTTTTACTTTTCCTTTTCTTCAGAAATATAAATTCGAATTTTCTATTGAGAGTTCTTAAGGAGCTCTATCTGTATGGTAAACCAGGTGTTTGTTTGGTTTCTATCACTTTGATTCCCAAGAATGATTTTTTTTTTAGACGATTAAACATTGTAGACTTACCAGCTTTCTTACTTGTGCTTGTAACGCTGTGCCAAGCTTTTGCATAATCATTTGAATAGGGTGTTAAGATGTTTCCATTTCTAGGTTCTGTTGTACACATATTAAAGTTTTGAGGGTTGAGTCTTGATGCAATGGTAAGGTTGCTTTGTGACCTGGTGGTCAAGGGCTATAGTTGGGGAAATAGCCTCTCCATGCATTACTACGGTTGCATATATCTGAACCTCCCTACTCCCCAGAATAGTGGTAGCTTCATGCAATAGGCCATCCTTTTACTCATGCAAGTCTGACACATCACGGTTAATTCTAATTCTTGAAATTTATTATAAATACACAGTGATGAAAGTGCCAAGCAAGTTAGGATTAATTAATTGATGAGCCCTTTTCCTCTAAATTTTGAATGCTGACTTGTCGATTCAAGGTTTCTCATGGACCTGATCAGTGGGCGAATGAATTTACAACTGAAAGACAGCAGCATGGATTGGTTGATGATCAGTGGGTTAATCAATTCTCAAAGTTGCATGTTAATGACTGGGCAGAGGAATTTGGTCAGCAAATTGGTGAAGGAGCCTTCGGGGAGAACTCTTCTGATAGTTGGGCACATGCATACGATGAGTAAGTTGAACTTCCCTACTGACTAAATTGCAATGTTTTTTTTTTTTTTCAACATAAAGAACTATCCACTGGATAGATTGACAAAATACACCTTTTCATATTACCCACTCTTGATTTCCTTTTTCGTTTTTTTTCCCGAAAATAAGAGAATGTTATCCTAGGCATATGTTTTTCTTTGCCTTCTTATTCCAGATTAAAGTGGCTTTCGAACAACGTAAAAAATTTAAAGTACATGGACACCTATTTCTTATCTACGCCTATACATAACACATAACAGGAGTGAAAGAATGAGAGGGAGAGATGAGAGAAGAGAGAAGAGAGGAAGAGAAACTTTGTGAAAATATTGTTAATCACTATTCTAAATGTAGAAGATTATGATTGGGAGAGAAACTTCTTGAATACAAAACTTTCTAGTGTGTTACTTTCCAGTTTTATTTGTACCGGAAGAATATAATGTCTAGACTTAGATTGGATCTGGAAAATTGCTGTGTAAACATGGTGCGCCAATCAACTTTTGTATTATATCAATGAGAAATGACTTTTGGTTTGACATTTTTCAAAGGGGAAGGTTATTGTTAGAGATATATAAAACCATTAATATAACCTCTCCTAAAAGCTTAAACTTTTGGGTTGAATTGGTTCTTTACATGGTATCAGAGCCTCGGTGTCTCGGGTTTGATTCTCGCTGCCCCCATTTTCTTTGTGGAATTTCTTAGCACATGTAGGCTAGGCCTGATGCATCATCCACCTTTCGAGCTCAATGGGCTCTCTTGTGAGGGGGCGTGTTAGAGATATATAAAACCATTAATATAACCTCATCTAATAGCTTAAGCTATTGGGTTGAATTGGTTCTTTACAGTTATACTTACTACATTTTAGCCTTATTACTCTTTTTACCTGATTGGTTATTGTTGGATCAATTTGAAATCAACGGTTGAAAAATGAAAAAAATTAATTACCCGTTGATTTCAAATTGATCCAACGGTAACCAATCAAGTAGTAAGGCTAAAATGGTAGTAACTATAACCATTCCCTTTTTCAAGTATAGATGCCAATATACGATATTCGTCAAACTAACTGCAGGATCCTGTTGGTTCAATGTGCAAACTAAGTGGTACATAATGTGTTCAAAAGAATTGCCAGATCTTATTTAAAGATTACGATTATTGTTTGAACTTATTCAGTTGCTTGGAGGATTTATTATGCCCTCTCTTTTTCGTCAATCTAGTATTCCCTTGAACTAATCAGAATCTCTTTGGGGGTTATATGAAGGTTCCTAAATGAGCAAGTTGCTGCCAAGCAGCAGTTAGATAGTTCAAGGGGCGTGTATGTTTTCTCAGATTTAAATCCTTATGTTGGCCATCTGAATCCACTAAAAGAAGGCCAAGACCTATTCAGGAAAGGACTTTTAAGTGAAGCCGTTCTAGCATTAGAAGCTGAAGTTTTGAAAAACCCTGAAAATGCTGAAGGGTGGAGACTGCTTGGAATAGCACATGCAGAGAATGATGATGATCAACAGGTTAGGTTATGCATTCTTGATGATAAACTCCCCTATTAATGCAGACTGCAATGACATTTTATTGCGTAACTACAATAAACCAATGCTGTACAAATTCTCTTAAGAACGAACAATTTTTTTAGGGAAAAGTTCAAAATTGGCCTATGGTTTTGCTTTTAATCACTTGCATCCCTATACTTTTTTTTAATCATTTATCCCCCTATGGTTTTTTCCATCTAAATCCATCCTTTACACTGTTAGAAACTAAACTAATTTGCCAATTTTACCCTTCTTAGAAAAGAAAATTGACTTATGACAAAAAATTATAATAAAAGAAGAAATAAGACCAAATATATTGGAAACATACAATACTTATAGAAAGAGACTAAAAATAAAAAAAAGAAAATAGAAGAAAAAATTAAATATGTCTAAATCAAAAAGACAAAAATACACTGAGGTCAAAATAAATCAGAAATCAAGTGAGAGAGAAAGAGGGAGAGTCATTGATTTACTGAATGTTTGATATATTTTCATTATCAATTGAATACAAAGAGAGAGCTCTATTTATAGAGCTAAGAGATGATGAGTCAGCAGCTAACAACCCAAACTAACTAACTGAGCTTATAACAATAAGCCTAATAGAAAGGTTAGAAGGAATATACTACAACCAGTCTTATAGTAACAACAATGCAGCTAAATACAGCTGCACAAACAGAAAGCTAAGCTATATTCTAATACCCTCTTGCAAACTCAAGGAGGCTTGGAAAGAGAGCTATCCAGAGAGCCATCCAAGACCTTGAGTTTGAACCTCAATTCAGCAAAGCGTGCAGAAGACAGAGGCTTGGTAAGCGTGTCAGCAATATGGTCAGAGGAAGGAATGTGAGAGACCACTAATTCCTTATTGAGAACTCGTTCACGAACAAAGAAAATATCCAATTCCATATGCTTGGTGCGAGCATGAAGAACAGGGTTGCGAGTGAGAGCCACAGTGCTCATATTATCACAAAGAACATGAGGGACTGAGAAAGTGATATGCAGCTCTCGAAGAAGGGATTGGATCCATAGGATTTCAGCACATGTGAGAGCCAAGCTACAGTATTCAGCTTCAGTACTAGAACGAGCAACAAGTGTCTGTTTCTTGGACCACCAAGAGACAAGGTTGGGACCAAGAAATATGCTGGAACCAGACGTGGAGCGCCTGTCATCAGGATCAGACCCCCAATCAGCATCACAGTAAGCTGTCAATGATAAGCCAGAAGCAAAACGTGCAGCCTGAAACAGTAACCCATGTGAAATAGTCCCCTTTAAGTAGCGTAAGATCCTTTTAACAGCTGCCCAATGATCCACTATGGGTTGAACCATGAATTGGAAAACTTTATTCACAGCATAGCTGATGTCAGGTCGAGTTATTGTGGCATATTGGATGGCACCAACAATGGACCTGTAATGATGAGGATCTGGGTAATAATTTGAGCCAACCCGAGACAATTTACATAGGAGAGGAGATGCCTTTAGCCTCTTGCATGGAGACTTTAGCAAGTAAATCACTGATGTATTTTGATTGAGACAACATTAAGGTATGTGAGGAATTCCTTCTAACCTCAACACCAAGAAAGTATTCCAGATTACCCAAGTCTTTCAAAGCAAACTGAGTATTAAGCTGTGAGATAAGATGAGTAATAAAAGGAAGGTCTGTCCCCGTTACTATGATGTCATCAACATAGATGAGAACATAAATGCACCTTGAGGCAGAGCAAAGTATGAATAATGAAGGATCACAACAGCTGGACTTGAAGCCAAAAGAGAGCAGAGAACTCTTAAGTTTGTCAAACCATGCACGTGGGGCCTGTTTGAGCCCATAGAGAGCTTTGTTAAGCTTGCAAACTAGAGTTTTATTGGAATCTTCAAAGCCTGGAGGCTGTATCATGTAGACTTCCTCTTGGAGATCACCATTCAAAAAGGCATTATTGACATCCAATTGTCTAAGAGGCCAACCATAGGTGAGAGCCAAAGTAAGCATAATCCGAATGGTGACTGGTTTCACAACTGGGCTGAAAGTTTCATTGTAATCAAACCCGAGTTGTTGATGGAACCCTTTTGCAACAAGCCTTGCTTTATACTTGTTAATGGACCCATCAATATTCTCTTTAAGTTTGAACACCCATTTGCAGCCAATAGCAGACCTTTTAGTAGGAAGAGGAACAAGACTCCAAGTATTGTTAGCCAATAATGCATTATATTCAACTTTCATTGCTGCATACCAAGGAGGACTAGAGATTGCTTGTTTGACAGAGGTAGGCTCAACATGAATGAGAAGTGCTTGAGCTCTAGCAAGAGTCTTAGATCTGGTCTGTATAGAGTGACTAGAAGAATTAAGATGGGCAGTAGTAGAGGGTAAAAATATGGAAAGACTCAGGAGAAGAAGATGTGGAAGAGGCAGAAGAATTAAGGAAATGAGATTGGACAGGAGACTCATGAACAGAAGAAGACACAGGCATATGTGGAAAACTGTCTGGAGAGGGACTTGAAGTGGAGGAAAACTGTTCTGAAGCTGAAGAATTACTATCAGCCTTATTCACAGTAGCAGTAGCACTAGTTGGAGAAAGGGGGTTATGAACAAACAAGGGAATAGGATGAGAAGCATTTGGAGTGACAGTGGCAGAATTTGAGGACCATGACTGAGCATATGGGAAACGATATTCATTGAAAATAACATCTTTTGAAATAAAGGTTTTTCCATCTTGATTTTGACATATATATCCTTTATGGTTGGAAGAATAACCTAGGAAAGCACACTCTAGGGATCTGAATTCAAGTTTGTGTTTATTGTAGGGTCTTAAAAATGGAAAACATGCACAGCCAAACACTTTAAGAAATTTATAGTCAGGCTCAGTTTGATAAAGTTTAACATAGGGTACCTCAAAATTTAAGGATGCAGTAGGCAGACGATTAATGAGATATGTTGCTGAACTAAAGGCATAATCCCAAAATTTCATAGGAAGAGAGACATAAGAAAGAAGGGTTAAACCAGTTTCCACAATATGCCTATGTTTTCTCTCAACTACACCATTTTGGTGACTTGTATGTGGACAAGTGACTCTGTGTAAAATTCCATGGAGTTGTAAATATTGAGTAAAGGGTCGAAACTCCCCACCCCAATCTGTTTGTATTGCTTTAATTGAAGCTTGAAATTGGGTGTTCACCATTGAATGGAATTGTTTAAAGATAGTAATTGCATCAGATTTTTGTTGGATAGGATACAACCAAGAATATCTTGTATGAGCATCTACAAAAGAGATGTAATATGAGTTTCCAAGAGTAGATTTAATTGGAGCTGGTCCCCAAAGATCACTGTAGATCAACTCAAATTGAAAATGATAAACAGTTTGAGAAGAAGGGGAATGAAGTCTGTGAGCCTTACCAAGACAACAAGAGGAACAAAAATCCAACACACTTTTATTATTAAATGGAATCTTACAAGCAGTAAGTACATTCTTTAAAGCAATCTCATGAGGATGTCCAAGACGACAATGCCATAAGGAGTAGGCAGTGTTAGACACTGAACTAGGCTGATTACAAGATTGAACAATATTTGAGGCTAAACTAGGCTGATTACAAGTATAAAGCTCTGAACTACTACACTTTGAAGACAATGACACTGGAGTAGAAGTCTTGACAGATGTGGATGCTTGAGGCAGACATATACTTGGAAAGGAATACAATCCATCCTTGTTGACAGTCCCTTCTAGGAGAGTTTTACTGGACTCCTGCGATTTCACAAAACACTTAGAAGGGTGAAACTCAAAATATACATTGTTATCCTTAGCAAATTGGCTAACACTTAACAAGTTCTTCACTATTGAAGGTACAAGCAGCAGATTTTTAAGATTTAATTCAGTTTGAGAGTCTAATGGAGACCAAAATTTTGTTGAACCAATGGCAAGATTTGGCAAACCTTGTCCATTACCAATGACAATCTGATCTGTACCAGTGAGCTGTTGGCTTTGAAGAAGATTAGCTGGATTTGCAGTAACATGGTGGCTTGCACCAGAATCAGGATACCATTTGATGGTTGTTGCAGATGTTGGAAGAGGCAGTAGTCCAGGTTGAGAAGCAATCAAGGCATGAGGAGCCATGAATGAAGCAAGAAATGGATCAGGCCCTCAGGATGAGAGCTCTGATACCATATCAGAAATCAAGTGAGAGAGAAAGAGGGAGAGTCATTGATTTACTGAATGTTTGATATATTTTCATTATCAATTGAATACAAAGAGAGAGCTCTATTTATAGAGCTAAGAGATGATGAGCTAGGAGCTAACAATCCAAACTAACTAACTGAGCTTATAACAATAAGCCTAATAGAAAGGTTAGAAGGAATATACTACAACCAGTCTTATAGTAACAACAATGCAGCTAAATACAACTGCACAAACAGAAAGCTAATCTATATTCTAATATTGCAAAAAAAAGAAGAAAGAAGATCAAATATGTTGGCAACTTATAACAGTAAAGAATAAAATTGAAAAAAAAAAATCTATATCAAAAAGAAGAAAATAAATTAAGGTCGAAATAAAATTGAAAGAAAATAAAAGAAAAAAGACCAAATATATTGAAAATTGTTGACAGTAAAGAATAAAATTGAAAAAAAAAATAGTCTAAATCTAAAAGAAGAAAGTTATGAATAAGATCAGAAAAATCTAATTGACCTCAAACTTTCTTGGTTATATTTTTTCTTCTATTTTTTTTTTGTTCTCAAATTATTTTCTACTTTTTATTGAGATATGTTTGATTTTTATTTTATTTTATTTATTTTTTCACTTTTAGTTTTTTCTATTATGGTTAAAAATATGGAAAAAAAAATATGACAACAAGGAAATAAAAGAAAAAGAAATCAGTGCTGAAAATTTCCAACATATTTCGTGTTATTTTTTTTCTATTTTTTTATTATCCTCTATCTATTTTTTCTTTTTTATTTAGACATATTTAGTCTTATTTTTTTCTTGTATTTTTTTTTTGTCTTCAGTTTATTTTCTTTTTCAGGCTATTTTGTATTTTTTTTACTTTTAGTATTTTCTACTACTGTTATAAGTTTTCAACATATTTGGTCTTATTTTTTTTAACCTCGGTTATTTTGCTCTTTTTGATTTATACTTATTTTTTTCTTCTATTTTATTTTTTATTTTATTTTTAGTCTTTTCTATATTATGAGTTTCCGATATATTTGATCTTATTTCTTTGTTTTTTTGTCATAAGTCTATTTTTTTTTTTTTTTTTTTTTTTTTTGTTACATATCTATTTTCTTTATCTAAGAAGGGTAAAATAGGCAGGTTAGTTTAATTTTTAATAGTGTTAAGGATGAGTTGGGATGGAAAAAATAATAGGGGTGTAAGTGATTCAAAGCAAAATCTTAGGGAGGTTTTTAAGCTTTTTCCTTTTCTTTAATATAAATTTATTTTATTTATGTCTCAACAGTCTTTGGTGAGATGGTCTTACTGTTCAATTAATTATGCCATTCAATTTTTCTTCTTTCTTTGCTGATACCATCAAGTGATTGTTTTAGATATAATAGCAAATGATTTATGCTTCCAATTATTGTAGAAAAGAGATTTCGGAATTGCTCGAAGAAATCTTCATCAACACCTTGTATTTATGCATGATTTACATTCTGTATTAATAGCAAACTAGGAAATTAAAGGAAAAAATAATACAAATCAAATGCTAAGTGCATATAGTTTCTAAATAGGAGATATAGGAAGTTCTTCCCCAAATAGAAGATATTTTCCCACACACTCTATCAAGCTAGAGCATACAAATCATATGCACCAAACTTGTCACAGATGTAATGTATTTGAGGTCCCCTCTGATGCACTTACAGTTGACCCATTGCACATGGCTTAATCATTGATTCAAGAAGCTCGTAGTCAACTAGAATTGTGGCCACATAAATATGGCTCAATTGTTGAAAGTAGTAGTAATTTGAAATATTATAAATTACGATCAAATCCAAATCTAAATGAAGCAGCAAATGTGAATGTGATTTGTTTGACAAGAAAAGGAAAGCAACACATTTGACATGATTTTAGATCTAAGATTTGGGATGTGTTTTCAATGATTTAATTGTAATTATTTATTTATTTTTAGAAGTTAATTATTGTTATTTGGTGAAGGCCTTTTTAATGGTTTATATTATTTTCTAATAGTTCTCCAATCTTCATCTTAACCGATATCAATCTCTTTAGGTAAAAACTCAATGGAGAATTCTTCCTTGATTAGATCTTCATCATCAGATTCTCCATCAAATTTATCATAGATTGGATTATCAACATAAACTGTGTTATGATCATAGACATCAAAGTCAGGAATGTTGATTTGCATCTCGATATCTTGAAAAGTAGACTGATTTTCAGGTCGTACTTCCTAATTCTTTCCCTGGTTTAGAATCCTCAAGGGGTTAACGTCCTCTTTTTCGTCATTAGATGTGTCCTCTAATTCCATTCCTTCTTCGAATTGAATGCCCAACTTTGTCCATGGAAGTCACCGCTCCAAATCTTGGATTTTCATGCTCTGCGCCTCCACAAGTTGTCGCTTTAAAATTTGGATTTTCTCGGTATGTGCCCACACGAGTTGTCGCTCCAAATCTTGAATTTTCTTTCTTTGCGCCCGCACAAGTAGTCGCTCCAAAATTTAGATTTTCTTGTACAACGCTTGCTCAAGTTGTTGCTTCAAATCATGGATCCGCCTTCCAAGCTCTTCATTTTCTATGTCACACGGGTCTATTTGATGCGGTTCTCTGTCTCCTTTAGGATTGAACCTACGTCCCTTGCCTTCACGACTCCGCCATTGACGACCTCTACGATTTTGGCATGATTTGAGATCTAAGATTTGATACGTGTTTTGAATGGTTTAATTGTAATTATTTATTTATTTTTAGTATTTAATTATTCTTATATTTATTTTAGGAATTTTCTTACTTTTAGGATTTTAGATTTTGAATTTTGAATCAATTTGTAATTAGTCTATAAAAGGGTTCTTAAGACCCTTATTTTAGGAGTTGAATTTTGTTATTTGGATAATTAAAAATTGAGAATCAGAGGGTTACTCTTTTATGAAATCCTAACTTTCTCTTTAGCCACTTTTCTATGTACTTTCGGCATAATTTGGTATCAAAGCACTAGGTTACCTTTAACCATTGGCTGAACAGAATCCTAGAGGCCGTCGATGGCGGAGTTGTGAAGACAATGGACGTGGATTCATTCTTAAAGGAGATAGACAATCGCGTTAGACAAACCCGCGTGGCATAGAAAATGAAGAGCTCGGAAAGCGGATCCATGATTTAATGCAACAACTTGAGCAAGCGTTAGACAAGAAAATCCAAGTTTTGGAGCGACTACTTGCGCGGGCACAGAGAAAGAGAATTCAAGATTTGGAGCGACGACTCATGCGAGCGCATACCGAGAAAATCCAAATTTTGAATCAAACTCTTATGGAGGCGCAGAGCATGAAAATTCAACATTTGGAATGGGGACATGCATGGACAAAACTGGGCATTCAATCCGAAGAAGGAATGAAATTAGAGGACGCTTCTGATAATGAAGAGGAGGACGTCAATCTCTTGGGGATTCTAAACCAGTGTCAAAATTGAGAAATACGACTTGGAAATCAGTCCACTTTTCAAGATATCGAGATGCAAATAAACATTTCTAACTTTGATATCTATGATCATAACCCAGTTTATGATAATTACCTCATTTATGATAATTATCCATCTGATGATGATAATTCAGTCTATTATAAATCTGATGGAAAATCTGATGATGAAGATCTAATAGAGAAAGAATCTCCATTGAGCTTTTACCTAAAGAGATTGATATTAGTGAAGATGAAGATGAAGAAGATTTGAGGACGAATCTTTTCCTAGCAGGGGAGAATGATGCACTTACAATTGGCCTATTTGCATCACCCTCAAGACCACAAAAGTATTTGTGCTCACTCAATTCTTTGTTCTAAAGTGATTGAACAGATGGATAGAAAAAGAAAATTGGAGAGACTTTATTGATAGAAAGCAAGAGTTCAGGAAACAAGCTATTCACAAAGGGAACTTCTATTCCTCTGAGAAATTCTCAGCCAAACTCAAAATTATCAAAAACTACTCCTAATAGAGGGTTATATCCCCTCATATACATGCAATTGAACTACTTTGATAGGCCTCCTACTATCTAACTGCTCCTACTAACTAACTAATCCAAGCTCGTTATTAAAGCTTTCTAGTAATCCAACTGATTGCCTTAGCTTGTGCCTTCTGATATAACTTTTCAAGTACTAGGCTCCCTTATATTTTTGTCCGTAACAATGCCTCCCTGCGGGAAACAACCTTGTCCCCAAGGTTGAAAGCGGGAAATGCATCTCCTTCAGTTAGACATGTGTTCCAATGACATGTGATGAAATGGGAGGGTATCTGACAGATTAGAAGACAGGTTAACTAGGGGAAAACAAACCTGGATATCTCTTCTATTTTTCGAAAAACAGTCTCATTCCTTAACAGCTTTGCATTGATCGTTAACTTTATATTTGAGATGTTTAATTTTAGACGTGACTTACATCTTTTTTTGAATAATTTTAAACTTGAGCAGGCCATTGCAGCAATGATGCGTGCACAGGAAGCTGATTCCACAAACCTGGAAGTGCTTCTTGCTCTTGGTGTTAGTCATACCAATGGTTGGTGACCGCATCTAATTCATTACCTGGATGCATGATAAAAATTCAAATAGCAAATTAAAATTAGCTTACCAAGCCTTGACACTTACATTGATGTTACTTGTGTGTTTCAACTCATATTTTTGGAGTTTTCTTGATGAAAATTATAAAGGCTTGAGAGCTCTTTTAAGGAGATAATATGCTTTTATTTGCTTGATTTTGTATCATCTCTGCTTTGGAAGGTTTCATGATTTATACTCCATTTTGTACTTGACTTCTGTTTTAGTGAATTCGTAACTTAAAGCATTGATGAAAAATAACTTGTAGGCTGTGCATTATATTCCCAGATTAAAAAAGATATTGAACTTATCTGCTGATGTTTGCAGAACTGGAGCAAACAGCTGCTCTGAAGTATCTATACGGATGGCTACGCCATCACCCGAAGTATGGGGCACTTGCCCCGCCTGAGATGTCTAATTCTTTGTACTATGCAGATGTAAGTGGAATTGATTACTTCCTAATAATCATGTTTACTAAAAGCTTATTTGAAATGGTGGGAACTGTGAAATCCTCATGCGAACCACACATTATAATTAAGATATAGAACATTGAGTGAATACTCCTTGATTTATTGATAATGATGAATTTTCTATCTGCTTCAACTATGGAGGAAGGCCTCTAGATTGCTGTAGGTCAAACCACATTAGATTTTCTCTTTTTTTTTTTGTGCACCTACATTCAGGAATGAAAATGAAAATCTTTCTAAACATTGCAAATTCATTGGTTTAACTATTCAGATTAGAAAAAATAAGTACTGAATTAGTGAATTTTCAGAATTAGGATTTTCATTTATACTGAACCCCATAACTTTGTCCCCCACCCGATAAAATAAATAAATCAAAAAGGCATGTTACTATTTGGTTGGAAAACACAGTTTATGTAGGGTATTGAAAGCACTTGAACAATGACTAGTGGCATTTTCTTTAGACATCATTTCTTAGTTTAGTTGTTTTTTTTGAAGTTTAGATGACATATTTCTTTGCGCTTGGAGTGGCTTTTTACGTCATTTTTATGATGCTGGGCAAATCGGCAAATGCTGTTTCTTTATGTAATACATTTGTTGAAATATGAAGAAATGGTTTTTTTTTTTTTTTTTCAAATTGATATACACTGATTTACACTGATAGGAGTATATACACAAGAGTAAATGAGAAAAAATGGATAAAAATGACTCAGCAACGAGTCATCAGCCCTATCCTATTTAATTACTAATTAATAGGAAATAAAAGCGGAAAATTTTAATCCTAATGTCCTACACTCCCCTTCAAGTTGGGAGGTAAATGTTAATTATTCCCAACTTGCCAATTAGGTTTTCAAAGGATGGCCGGTGTAGACTCTTAGTGAGGATATCTGCAGTCTGCTTTCTGGTAGGAATATACATCATACATACACTTCTATCATCTAATTTTTCTTTGATAAAGTGGCGATCAACCTCCACATGTTTTGTTCTGTCTCGGTGAACTGGATTTTGAACAATACTGATAGCAGCCTTATTATCACAATTTTGATAGGTAGGGAAAAAGAGATTTTCAATTCCTCAAGGAGTCTTCTTAACCAAATTCCTTCAGAAATACCATGGGCTAGAGCTCAAAATTTTGCTTCTGCACTCGTCCGGGCAACTTCTTACTTCTCCATGTCACAAGATTTCCCCACACATAGGTACAATACCCTGAAGTGGATCTTCTGTCCAATGCAGAGCCAGCCCAATCTGCATTTGTATATATTTTAATCATCCTCTCGTGTCCCCTTTTAAAAAACAATCCTCGACTAGGGGTGTTTTTGAGGTACTTGAAGATTCTATAGCCTGCACTCGGGTGTTTTTCCTTAGGAGAATGCATGAATTGACTAACCATGCTGACTGCAAATGCAATATCAGGTCGAGTGAGAGGTAAGTAGATCAACTTCCCCACCAGCCTCTGGTACTGCTCTCTGTCAGCTTCTTTCCCATCTTCGATTCCCAATTTAATATTGGGTTCAACTGGAGTCTCTGCTGGCTTCCACCCAAGCATTCCTGTCTCTTGTAAGAGGTCTAGAATATATTTATTCCAAGTTAAGGAAATTCCTACCTTACTACGAGCAATTTCCATGTCAAGGAAATATTTGAGAGATCCAAGATCCTTCAGTTCAAACTGGTCAGCTAAACACTTATTCAAAGAGCTTGTCTTCTCTCACAATCATTACCTGTGACAATTATGTCATCAACATAAACAATGAGAATAGCAATTTTACCAACGCCAGAGTGTTTAAAAAATGAAGTGTGTTCAGTCTGAGTTTGGAGGAATCCTTTTTCTTTAACAACTTGAGTAAATTTTTCAAACCACTATTTAGGGGATTGTTTAAGCCTATAGAAAGATTTCTTCAACTTGCATACTGAATCGTCTCCATTTTCAAAACCAGGCGGTGGATCCATATAAACTTCTTCATGTAAATCATCATTCAAGAAGACATTCTTTACATCTAATTGTAGCAAGGGCCAATCTAGGCTGGCAACAATGTGATAGTAGAACTCAGATAGTGTTAAGCTTGGCAATATAGGCAAATGTCTCCTGATAGTCTATCCTATGAGTCTGAGTGAACCCCTTAGCAACCAATCTGGCCTTATACTTGTTGATGCTGTTATCTGCATTGAATTTTATTGTGAACACCCACTGACAACCTATTATTTTCTTTCTTCTGGGTAATGCTATAGACTCCCAAGTTCCATTTTTGTTTAAGTGCATCCATTTCTTCAAAGATAGCTAACTTCCAATTTGGATCGTCAAGGGCTTCTTGGATATTTTTTGGAAACTTCATACTTTCCAAGACTGTGTTAAAGGCACGAAAACCTGGAGATAATGTGTCATAAGAGACATATTGAGAGATGGGATGTGAAGTATAAGATCTTGTTCCTTTCCTGAGAGCAATTGGCAAATGCAAATCCTCATAGGCATGTTGGGTTGAATCCGGATTGTTGGAACTAGAAGGCGAAGTGGAATCTTGGCAGTGCAAAGAGTTTGGATTATTTACATTTTGAGGAGGCTGTTTCCGACTATAAACCAACAATTGTTTCTGCTGATTATTGTCTCCACCTTTTTCCAACTACTTATTTTCCCCTGTTTCCAATTGTGGCGAGTCCTGTGATGAAGAGATGGATAAGGGAAGAGGTAACATTGGGGTAAGAGGTGACACTGAGGATTCCCAAGACTGGTCTTCATCTAGAAGCACCCCCTGAAAAGAAGACTGAGAAAAAAAATATAGACTCTCAAAGAAAGTGACTTCCATGGAAACAAAAACCTTTCGAAGAGGTGGAGAATAACATTTATATCCCTTTTAAGTGGGAGAGTATCCAATGAAGACACATTTGTGAGATTTAGGATCAAGTTTGGATCGTTGGTGTGATGGAACATGGACAAACAAACAAATTCGAACAATTTTGGAGGAAGAGAAGATATAGAACTAATAAATGGTTAGTTCTTTAAAAGACATGATAGTGGGGATTGAAACTGAAGGACAAGTGAAGACATCAGTTGATAAGGTACGTGGCAGTTAGAATAGATTCCCCCCACAAATATTTAGGAACACTCATGGTGAACATAAAAGCATGAGCAACTTCATGAATGTTCGTATTCTTTCTCTCTGCTACCCCATGCTGTTGAGGAGTATCAAAACATGAACTCTGATGGAGGATGCCTTGATGAGAGAAGTATTCACCAAGGATAGAATTGAAATACTCTTTACAATTGTCTGTCCGAAGAATTTTTATGGAGATGCCAAATTGGTTTTGAACCTTGGCATGAATTTTTTTTAAACCTGACAGTATCAGACTTTTCTTTGAGAAGATAGACCAAACACACTCGAGAATGGTCATCAATGAATGTTACAAACCATTTCGAGCTAGAAATATGTTTTACACGAGATGGACCCCATATATCACTGTGAACAAGAGTAAAAGGGGAGGATTCTTTATATTTCCTCATAGGATAGGGTACTCGAGTGTTTTGCTAACTGACATATGTCACAAGAAAAGACAGTGGGTTTTTTTATGGAAAAAGAGATCTGGTAACAATTTTTGAAGGTAATTGAAATTTGGTTGCCCTAATCTACAGTGCCACAGCATGACATCATCATCACTATTGGAAACAAAGAAAGGATCATTTTCAGCAAAAGTAGCTTGATTCTCGACACGATTAGATCCCTAAAAAATGTAGAGTCGTCCTTCTTTAGCATTGTCAATTATCCTCTCCGATTCCTGTTCCTGAAAAACACAACCATGCACCGAAAATTTTGCAACAACTAAGGTTTGTTTTCAGCTTACTAACAGAAATGAGATTGCATGCTAATTTAGGAACATGTAGGACAAAATTGTAACACAATCTTCTCGGAGAGTTTAATTGACCTTTTCCCTACAACTTGTGCAAAACTTCCATATGCTATTTTGACCGTAGAATTCCCTTAGCATGGATTAGGAACAAAACAATGTTGGATTATTTGTCACATGGTCCGAGGCCCCAGAGTCAAGTATCCAACGAATAATACCATCAACATGAAACGTAGTACCTTGTTTAGCCACAAGGCTAGATGGCACACTGGGTTGAGGGCTCATAGATGTCGCTGTAGAGCTGGTGGAGGAAGAAATTATGCAAGCTTTCCTTTGCACCTTGGCAAGGTCACCTCCCGGAACAACAGAAGGTGGTTGGTAGTTACTACCACACTTGAAACTAGAAGAGTCCCCATCCACAAACTGAATGGTCCCCTTGGTTTTGATTGTTCCAACACTAGCATTCACATTTTTGGGTACAACATCTCCATGATACATCAGACAACTTGTCATGTGTTTTCCATGGCAAGGATCACACTTGGTCATCATCAATATGGGAGAAGACAAGGTTGCCCAGAAAAAAAAGTGTCCAATCACCGATTTGAACCCTAGAACAGATAAAGGATAAGAAGAAGAACCGAACGAACCCAGTAGATACCGGAATAGGAACCAGCAAGATGGCGCGTGGCTTACACGCGCGAAGAACAACCGCGAGTGGGTGCGCATGAGACGGACCTGCAGAGCTATTTCAGGCTCGTGGAAGTGCGTGGGTGGTCAGATTCCAGTGGGCCATTTTGGAACTTATAGATCGACTCATTTTGATTCCGATGATATATGTTTTGGCTGGAAAAGTCGCTGGAAATATTTTCCGGCAGCGGCTGTCGGTGGCTGACGGCGGTGAATGACTGGGATTCACCGGTTTTGGCCTTCTATAGTGACTAGTCCCCTTACTTTGTTGTTGGGGCTTTGTAGGAAGAAACGACAACTTTAACAATGGCTGGACTGAGTTTTCCAGCGATGTGCCACCGGTTTTCCGGCAATGGCTGAGCTTTCTCATGACCAACCTGCTATTGATATTATATTGAAATATGAAAAATGGTTTTTTTCTAAATTGATACACACTGATTTACATTGATACGGGTATATACACAAGATTAAATGAGAAAAAAATGGATAAAAATGACTCAACAATGAATTATCAGCCATATCCTATCTAATCACTAATTAATAGGAAATAAAAACGGAAATATTTTAATCCTAATTTCCTACAACATTGTTTCCTTTTTGTAAATGCTGGATGTTCCCTAGGTTCTTGGATCGACTTTTGGTGACTATTTTGTAGTTTTGGTAGATGAAAAGTACAAAGAACCAATTCAACCCAAAAGTTTAAGTTGTTGGGTGAGGTTACGTTAATGGTTTTATATATCTCTAACACGTCCCCTCACACGAGAGCCCACTGGGCTTAAAGGATGGACACTGCACAACCCCGCCTACCTATGCTGAGAAATTTCACAAGAGAAAATAGGTGGCGGTGAGGATAAAACCCGTGACATCTAGCCTCTGATACCATGTAAAGAACCGATTCAACCCAAAAGCTTAAGCTGTTAGGTAAGGTTAGTCAATGGTTTTATATATCTCTAACAAAGAGAAATTAAATTTTTGCGACAACATACAATCTATTCTAGTATTTGCTGCATTTGATAGGAGTGTGTAACACTTGTATTTTTAAGGTCTGTTTGACTCAACAGCTTATTTGGTATTAGATTAGGTGATTGGCTTCTTTGGCTATAAAGCTTATGGTCTTTTTATTGGACTTACCCTACCTGATATGAAGAGCATTTGGGAATCTTTTTATATTTTGTTTTATTTATTCTTTTTTGGCTATGGAGGACCCCTCGTCCTCCAAATTCCTAATTTTCTTCTCTTGGTCCCTGAGTTTCTTTTATGGAAAAATTCCAAAATATTGTGCTCAATTAATTTTCATTAAGAGTGCTTGTGAACTACTAAACAATATGTTAATTAAGCTGTCTGATAACTTGATTTAGTAAGAATTGCCTTAGAGAAATAGTTTTCCTGATACACTTACCTAACAATATTTGTACTAATGTATCTTCTGGTTAGATTGCAAAGATTGATTTTTCTTTTTGCAGGTTGCTAGATTATTCAATGAAGCAGCTGAAATCTCGCCAGATGATGCTGATGTCCACATAGTTCTTGGGGTCCTGTACAACTTATCCAGAGAATATGACAGAGCCATTGCATCTTTTCAAAGAGCGTTGAAACTTAAGCCGCAGGATTACTCTCTCTGGAACAAGCTTGGTGCGACACAAGCAAACAGTGTTCAAAGTGCAGATGCAATAATGGCTTATCAACAGGTACCGTGTATTGAATTTAATCCTAATATGACTTTAGCTTAATGCCTTAATGTAATTATCTTGATGTGTTTCTTTTATTATAATTTATGACATTTAATGTAACTTTACTTTTCATTTGTGTTCATCTGCCACCTTCCCCAATTAGTTTGAGTTAAAGGTGTTGTTGATGTTGATGTTGTTGAATGTAACTTCATTTCTTGATATATTTGGGAAACAAATGTCTGACCATGAGGTGGTCATTTATCCATCTATGTTTAAGTTAGGGAGTTTGTCGTACCTGTCCTGTCTTCGCTTTTAGCGTAATTTAGGGTCTATAACTAGATATTAGTTATGTTCGCATACAGATGTTTCCTATAGTGTATGATTAAGTGTAATATATTCCTATCGTAATCAAGAAAAAAATGTTGTAAGTCCATGCTGAAGATAGTCAAACGCAAGTTTTCTTTCTACAGAAATTAACATTCTTTTCTAAAGTTGTAGAATTATGAATTTGTAAGTCCTATTTGGAGTCCTTATGTATAAGGATGTTATTAGAAATTTTAGAATATGATATTGTTAGAGTATATGAAAAATATCTAAGAATATCTCAATTGTATTTCATAATAGTTTAGAGGATCTTAGATGGTCTTGCATGAATAGTTTTCTTATTTCTTTATATTTCTTGATTTATTTCCTTATTCAGTTAGGATTTAGAGTCTAATATTAACCCGTGTGAAACATACCAATGGTGATTTCTACTAATAAGTCATAAAGGGAAAACCTCAGGTTTACAAGGTTCCATGACTTTGTGAGGGTAGGAATGAGGGTCAATTATAGGCAACTCTACCCTTGTATTTTTACAAAAAAACTGTTTCCTAGATTTGAACCCATGACCTTCCGGCGATAAAGGAACAACCTTATCATTGCTCCAAGGCTCGCATCATCTCACTATAAGTCATGTCAGCAATAAATTCTCCATGGTTGTGATGTACACCAACCTCGATTTCAAACTTCCAATTGTTATGTTTGATGTACTTGGAGAAGTTTCAGTTCTTGTTATGTGTAATTGCTTGTTAGGACATTTCCGCTTATCATTGTAGCGATGTCTCTTCTTTCTTGGTCATGCAATATTTCAACAAGCTCTTCATGTTGGCAATCATGTTGACATCTCCAATATTTCTAAGATGCCTTTCCAACCATATTTACTAGAGCCCATATTATATTGTTTGGTTGTTTTTCATTTTTAAATGAGCCGTCTGTAACAAGCTTAAAGCTTAGTATGCTTTAGATTGAGGGGAACCGTTAGAATATATAAAAAAATATCTCAAAATATCTAGATTGTATCTTAAAATAGTTTAAAGTATCTTACATGATCTCTTAGGAATAGTTTCCTTATTTCTTTTTTATTTCATGTTTTATAAACCACTCCTTATTAAACTCCATCTAGCGAGGGCAGTGTTTGGGCAATTCTTTTACGCAACTTTACCCTTGCATAATTGCAAAGATGCTATTTCCTTTGTGTTTGAAAGGTCACGAGTTTGAATCCGGTAAACCGTTTCTTTGCAATTATGCAAGGGTAAAGCTGCGTACAAGGATTACTCTCACCCCACCCTTGCTAGTCGAGGTTTAATGGGGAGTGGTTTGAGGGCGAGCCTGGAACAATGGTAAAACTGTTCCTTTGTGATTGAAAGGTTTCAAATTCAGGAAACAACCTTTTTGCAAATATGTAAGGGTAATGCTGTGTACAAGGATTGTCCTCGGACCTACCCTCGTTAGTCTGAGTTTAATAGGGAATGATTTATTTCATGATTTATATCCTTACTTAATTTGGATTTGGAGTCTAATATTAGTATAAATATGAACTAGTACTTTGTAGTTTGTATCACATCATAAAACATCAAATCAATATCAATTTCATATTATTTAGTGCTCATTTCTCTTTTCTTCTTTCCTTACCTAAATCTCTATAATTTCAACGGGAAGTAACTGCTTGTTGGCTTATCTTTGTATAGGCTGTGCAGCCTGGACTTTTGTATGTACTATACTTTTGTGTTCTCTAGTCATGCTCCTTTTTATCAAGACCTTATGTGAAATAGTCTAACTGCCTCAATCGTATCTGTCTTGAAATCCTACTTAGACGTCAGCAGTAATCTCTTCTCCTCCTCACCTAATCCACAACCTCAGATTATATATATTAGCATTAATCTTTTCAGCTGTATGTATGTGCAAGATATATTTTGGGGAATATAATTCACCTAGAATATTTTGGAGTAAAATTGCTCCATGTCTTCTGTGAGATAATATTGTCCTGGTGACTTCTCTTGATTGTTTGGCTGTGTATATTTTTATAGGATTTTATTGACAGATATTTGGAGATATTGGATGCATTTCTTTATTTTATTTTATTTTCCTTTCCATTTGTCTCTGTGTTTGGAGAAAATAACATGTACTGATGTACCCATGTGCTATCTATTTTCTCTATGTAGTCTCTTCTCTCTCTCATGGAATTTTCCTTTTTCTATTGTTAAAAACAATCTTCATTCCAGGCACTAGATTTAAAACCTAATTATGTTCGAGCTTGGGCAAATATGGGTATCAGTTATGCAAATCAGGTCAGTTCACTGCTTGGCTTTTAGCTTATTTCTGTCATAAATTTTATCAACTAGGAATTAGAAGCATGCTTGTCTCGTTTTGCGTTTATTATGCTTATGGTATCTGAAAGTGTACAACTGTAATATATACAAAGTGTGTGGTCGCTACATATGGACTGTCCAAGGTGCCTGCTTAAGGCCATAAGGTGACTTAAGTAGTTTACAAACCAGAGAGTTATTAGGACTTCAAAATCTGGAGGCTGCCTCGTATAGACATATTTGTCTAGGACTCCATTAAGAAAATCATTATTAACATCTAAGCGTTGAAGTGGCCACTCATGAGAGAGGGCAAGGTTGATGATGATCACAGTTATGGGTTTTACAATTGGAGAGAATGTTTCATTAAAGTCAAATCCAGCTTGTTGATGGAATCCTTTGGCCACTAACATGGCCTTGTATTTTTTAACTGTGCCTTGTGGATTTTCTTTAAACTTAATGACCCATTTACAGCCAATTGCTTATCAATTAGGAGGTAAGGGAACCAAGGACCAAGTAGAATTGACCTGTAATGCAGAAAAATCAGTTTTCATAGCTTGCATCAATTGTGGATCAGCTAAAGCTTGCTTGACAGAAGTAGGTTCCAAGGAAGTAAGAAGAATAGTAGGATTAGCAAGTGCTTTTGATCTAATGGTGATAGAGTGATATGAATGTGGCACTAAGTAATAGATTCAGAAAAGTGTACGCAAGGAAGAGAATTAGAGGATCACAAGCCCCTCATGCTGAGTCACCAATTAGTTAAAAAACTGCACAATCAGCACCCACATGCATTTGGTGGTCACACGATCAACGCCCACACTTTTACTTATAGCAGAGAATAATACAATAGCATCATCTTGAATTTTGGGATTGGGTTGGAATTTTGGGAGAGAACCAGTGCCTCTCGAATGCCCTGGGTTGTAGCTGGCTTTGGGAAATTTGATTTACTGTCTGTTATTTTCTTGTATCTTTACTTGGTTAATTTTGTGGGAATTTTTACTGTTAAATTCGAGTTGTAAACCAAGTTGGGAGGATTCAGTTTATAAATTCAGTGTTCTTGTTTTCACAACGTTCTTGTCTTTTAATTTTCTTCTTATTTGATACTTGAACCTTATCACCTAGTATCAGAGCTCTCCGATCCGGGAGGGCTTTGAATGGTGGTGACCAGAAACATAGAAGCAAGATATGAGGAGTTAGTGCAGAGAATTCGTCGTACAGAGAAGGGTCAGGTGGAGATTCTCAGGAGGTTGGACGAGGTTCTTCAAAATGTGGCTAACCGGAGCCAAGGGAGCAATCAAAATAGGGGAGGACCCGAAGAGTCTAATGTAAAAAACGATTGGGGACCACTACAAGTAGACCCACCAACCAGAAAACTAGAATTACCCATGTTCTTTGGAGAAGATGCTTATGGTTGGCTCACCAAGGTAGAGCGTTACTTCAGGGTGAATGAGATGGCAAAGAATGAGAAGCTTCCGGCGGTGCTTTTGGCATTAGAAGGAGAGGCGTTAAACTGGTATCAATAGTGGGAGATTAATACTGTGAACGTTACTTGGGCCATGTTTCGATCGGAGGTCCTTAGTAGGTTCCAATCAGAGATGGAAAATAACCCGCTCAGGCCATTGTTGACGTTGCGACAGACGGGGAGTGTTGCTGAATATCGTATGGCTTTTGAGAAGGTGGTTGGTCCGCTTAGGTACGAGGATGAAGAAATCCTTAGAGGGATTTGGCTTAATGGGTTGAGTGGAAGTATTGATGCACCCCACTAGTAGGTTGTCGGAGATGATGAAGTTGGCTCTCAAGATTGAGAGGAGGAACAAAGCATGGCATGAGTTTTGGGCCGAGAGAGGCCTTATAACATGAATTAGTTAACCAAAATGACCCAAGCCAATAAAACTGCAGTGGGTCACACTCCGGGCCGGGTCAATTATTCAAGTCAAGCTAATATGACTAATGTCACTAACTCCAGGCCCAGTAACAACGAAAATTCGAGAATCACTCAACCATCTAGGAACCCTTGTTCGTCTTCGACTGGATTGGTGTCAAATCGCGTTTTTGAAAGCCAGTCAAGCAATACCAATGGCGGCGGTGACCGTTGACTCCCTCAGGCGGATCTGCATGAATGTCAGAGGCTCGAGCTTTGCTTTAAATGCGAAGAAAAGTGGAATCAAAACCATAGGTGTAAGGTCAAACAACTTCATCTGATCTTGGTTGATGATGATGGAAGGATTCCGGAAGGAGAGGAGGCTATTGATTCTGGAGCACATGGAAGGGAAGTGGCTCTGCAACTTTCTATGCAGAGTTTACTAGGTCTCTCTTCTAGCCAAGCTATGCGTCTATGGGGAAGGCTGGGAATGAGCAGATCAAGGTGTTGATAGATTGTGGAGCTTCCCATAATTTTGTGGGAAAGGAGCTGACAAAGAAACTGAAACTAAAAGTGGACCTGATGCCATGATATCTGGTGTAGGTTGGAGATGGCCACTGAGTCTCCTATCGACTTGCATTTGTTTGATCTAGGAGGAGTGAAGGTGGTCTTTGGTCTCGATTGGCTTATTGGCTATGGGGAAATTCGGACCAACTTTAAGGAGATGTCCCTCAAGATAGATCATGAGGGGAAGGAGGTTTTTATTCGAGGGGACTCATCACTTTCAAGGTCCATAGCCTCGTTGAAGTCCATAATCAAGGCGTTCCAGAATGAAAGGGAAGGATTCTTGGTAGAAGGTGAAGATAGGGGTACTTCGTGGAAGGAATTAGAAGAGTTGTTGGTGGAGTTTCAGGACTTATTTCGGGAGCCAACAGGACTTCCTCCCAGCAGAAGTCAAGACCATGCTATAATGCTAAAACCAGGTAGCCAATTCCAAATTATCGTCCTTACAGGTATACTTGAAAAGAGGAAGTATAATATTATATTGACAAATTGTATATTACAACTGTACAAGGGCTCTCTATCTAAAGAGGCTAAATAACCTAATGGACTAAGCCTAAGGAAGATTCTAGAATACAACAATAAATAAATAAAATAATTATTATTATTTACAACACTCACTCTCAAGTTGAAGAGTAAATATTTATCATTCCCAGCTTGCTAGTAAGTTCTTGAAATCTATCTGAGGGAACTCCCTTTGTCAAAATATCAGCTAATTGACGCCCAGAGAGAATGTATGGAGTGACAATCAACCCGCTATCAAGTTTCTCTTTGATGAAATGGCAGTCGACCTCAATATGCTTAGTCCGATCATGTTGAATTGAATTATGAGCTATATAAATAGCGGACTTATTATCACATAGCAGCTTCCTTCACATCTTATTTTGAGATCATCAAGTATAATTTTCAACCACAATAACTCACAAATGCCTTGAGCCATGGCTCGAAATTTAGTCTCTTCACTTGACCTGGAAACCACATCTTGTTTCTTACTCCTCTACGTCACTAAGTTACCACAAAGAAACATACAATAACCAGTGGTAGATCGGCGGTCAGTCACAGATCCAGCATAATCGACATCAGTATAAACTTCTGAAGAAAGATCGCCATCACGCCGAAATAGCAGTCATTTACCAGGAGTGACTTTAAGATACTGAAGAATTCTCTCCACTTCCTGCATGTGTTTCTCCTTTGGATTATGCATAAACTGACTGACAATACTAACAACATAAGCTAAGTCTGGTCTAGTATGAGCCAAATATATTAGTCTCCCAACTAGGCATTGATATTGTCCTTTATCAACTGGAAGACTTTCCTCTTCATAAACCATCTTGTGATTCTGCTAAAAAGGAGTACTAGAGGGTTTACATCCAAGTTTTCTTGCTTTTTTAAGAAGATCAAGGACATATTTTCTCTGGTATAAAAATTCCTTCCTTTGAATGAGCTACCTCTATCCCTAGGAAATATCTCATTTTCTCAATATTTTTAACTTCAAACTCAGAGGCTAGTCTTGCTTGCAGAATCTGTCTCTACTATATCATCACCTGTTATAATAATATCATCAATATACACAAGGAGCACAGTGAGCTTCCCATCTTGGGAGTACTCAAAGAAAAGTGTTTGATCTCATTGACTCTGTTTATATCCTAAGGTCATCATAAGCTTAGTAAACCTCCCAAACCAGGCACGAGGGGACTGCTTCAATCCATACAAGGCTTTTCTTAACCTACAAAATTTATTTTCTCCATCCACATAATCAAAACCAGGCGAGATTTCCATGTAGACCTCTTCTTCTAACTCATCAGTAAGGAAAACTTTCTTCACATCAAATTGATTTATATCCCAAATTGTAATGGGCAGCAAGGGACAACAAGGCTTTTGCAGTATTCATCTTTGCAACTCGGGAAAAAGTTTCTTCATAATCAATGCTGTAGGTCTGAGTGTAACTCTTGGCGACTAATCGAGCCTTATATCTCTCAATAGTCCCATCAGAATTTTTCTTTAGGGCATAAACCCATCTGCACCCTACTCTTTTCTTTACATTGAATTTATCAACAACCTCCTATGTTTTATTCTTCTCCAAGGCATTCATTTCCTCTTGCATGGCCCGAACCCAATTCTCATATGTTAATGCTTCGTGCCCTGATTTTGGGTTGGAAATGGAATCTAGTGCTGATATAAAGCTTTTGTGCTGCATAGAAAGGTTAGTAGAAGAAACAAATTGAGAGATAGGACGTTGGGTGCAAGATCTTTTTCCTTTTCTTATGGCAATGGGTAAGTCATCAGAGTCACTGGGTAAATTATCAGAAGATATAGGTAAGTAATCAGAGACAATAATATCATGTTCTGAAACATGAGATTTAGGACTTACCAGCGATTCAGACGATTAAGGTTGCTGATGAAGCAGTATGAGTTGTTTTCTCCTTTGATATACCAATTCAGGTGTCAAAATTTTCTGTATCTCAGGTGTATTTGAAGGTTCTGTTACATCAAGGGTAGACACAGGAGAGAGAGGTGTAGGAGTAGACAAGGACGACCTAAACTCAAAGTAGGAAGGAGACGA